ACATCAGAACAGATCAGACAGTAGAGTCATACGGGCACCAGTGTTGGGGAGTAACAGATTACATGTACCGGAGTTATGTAATCAGAGTACAAATTATGAGTAACTGTATTCACTTACAGTTACTGTTTCAATGAGTTGTAATTGGATTACAGTTACTTTGTTGAAATAAATGGATTACACATAGGTATTTTCCTGTTTTCACATTTGGGACTATATCCCTTATTTATTTTTATTTTTTTTCTCAGTAATTCCACTCATTGGCGGACACTAAACCAGGTCTAAACCAGGTCTAAAACAGGTCTAAAACCAGGTCTAAAACCAGGACTAAACAAGGACTAAACCAGGACTAAACCCGAGACTAAAACCGGGACTAAACAAGGACTAAACCAGGACAAAACCGGGACTAAACAAAGACAAAACCAGGACTAAACCAGGACTAAACAAGGACTAAACCAGGACTAAAACCGGGACTAAACAAGGACTAAACCAGGACTAAACCAGGACTAAAACCGGGACTAAACAAGGACTAAACCAGGACTAAACCAGGACTAAACCACGCTGCGTGGACCGTGTCTCCTCCTCTTCTATCAATAATATTTTTAAAGACTCGACCTTTTCATTTTCTTTTAGCAGACAAAACATCTTATGTGAAGATTTCCTCATCTTTGCTTCTCTACAACAAATCAAGTAATCCAAAGTATTCAGATTATGTTACTCACTTTAAGTAATTTATTGGATTACGTTACAAACTACATTTTGGTGTATGTAATCTGTAATCTGTAGGGGAATACATTTTAAAAGTAACCTTCCCAACACTGACGGGCACTTTAAGACTTTCAGTGGATTATGTAAAATAAAAACACCAAAGAGATTCATAAATAGTTTTAAACAGTATTATAAATGATGGTTAATAATAAGACGTACCTGTGCGTGTGCAGTGTCGTTGCTCCGGGCAGCAGGTGTGGGAGTGCGGCTTTTCAGCGGGCTCTCACTCTTTCTTTCCCGGGTCATGGACATCTCCTCCACGGCCTCCCCCCTCTCACTCCGGGCTTCCTCACTCTCTCTCCTCTGCCCGGGTTCACTCTTCTCCTCCGGTGCATGTTCTTTCTTGTCCTCCGGGGCCTCGGTGTCGTCCTCCCCGCTGTGACCCGCCTCATCCCGGGCTGTCTCTCCGTCTCCTCCCGGTTGGCCGGTCTGGTCCCCGCTTTTCTCAGTCCTCTCCTCCGCCGTGCTTCCACTCTCATCCCGGGTCTCCTCCTTCTCCTCTCGGCCGCTGTCTTCTCGGGGGTCCGGTCGCTTGTCACCCCGGGTCTCGGCCCTCTCCTCCCGGGCTTCACCCCTCGCTCCCCGGGGCCCTCCTCTCTCCTCTCCCTGCTCGGTCACAGAGGCACCGCTGCCCATCTCTGCACCACTGTACACGGGCTGAAAAAGGCACTTAACCCCGGTGAATAGAGCCACGGACACCGGAGCCCCGCGCGTAACCTGACGCACACCTGCACCACGTGACCTCACACCTCTAAAGTTTCCACATTAGTGCGTAACACCTTCACAAGAGCACGTGGCAACCAGGGCAATTATCTGTTCACACCACAGTCTAAACTTGAACCTAATGTTTTGTTTGGTTCCTGTTTTATTTAGTTTAATTTCAGTTTAATTTCATTTTGAATCATACAGTTTTCCACAGAGCCGACAAGTGGAACCTTCAACCTGTACAGCAAAGATCCACCAGGGGGCGACATTAACTTTAAGATAGATTACATATCAGCGCTACATTTTCTATCTTAAAGCTTCTATATTGAGCAAAAACAGGAGTCGGGTTCGTGGAGATGCAAGCTGCTCAACAAGGACACGTATTTTTGATTAAATTCAGGCTATACATCACTTAAACACACCGGGATAGGCTTAATATTTGACCTGTAACTGTAATTATCCGGAGTATTTCTTCGCCAAAAAAAAAATCTTAATAAACTGAAGTAGACTGAGGGAGTGTGAGCGTTTGGCTCCAATGAAGCTCATCAAGACAGGAGATTATGTTGTGAATCCTATTAGGAAAAGGAAGTGATGTACGGACAAACTAGTGCAATAAAAACATCAGGATCATGTAGAGCAGGTTAATACAAACTGACACATTTTTATATACAGCACTTTTTTACACACACGTGCACACACACACACACACACACACACACACACACACACACACACACACACACACACACACACACACACACACACACACACACACACACACACACACTGGGGGTGAGGGGGTTAAGTGTCTTGACGCAAAATGGGATTTGAACCACCAACCTTTGGATGAGTGGACAAACACTGTGATGCCAGCTGAGCTGCTGCTCCGTTTATAAAACTCCCACGACATCAGAGAATCATTCAAACTGAAGACACTGCAGTCTTCTATCAACAGGTTGTGTATTTTTCTGTTTAGAGCTGCAATCTCCTTGTGTTTCATAGACTTTTAATTAGCACGCTCCTCTCAAGCCCTGTGCCCCTCTGCCCTCTGTGCCTCTGCCCTCTGCTCCCTCTGTGCCTCTGCTCCCTCTGTGCCTCTGCCCTCTGCGCCCTCTGTGCCGTCTGTGCCCTCTCTGTATCCTCTGTGCCCTCTGTATCCTCTGTGCTCTCTGTGCCCTCTGTATCCTCTGTGCCCTCTGTGTCTCTGTGCCCTCTGCTCCCTCTGTGCCCTCTCCGTGAGTGATTGTTGTGAAAGCTGCTCTTGCCACCTGCCTCCTGCGTCTCTCAGCTGTACAGTAGATTCATTCAAAAGAGAATATTTTGAGAATATTTTGGGTCAGAGCTGCTGTGCTGGTCAGAGTTGGTTTCTTGTGGAGTGCTGCACTGTTTATGACGCTGTCAGAGATTCAAGTCCAAGTGTTTCTGTAGAGCCTGAAATCACAGCAGTGTCCCCCACAGGGATCAAGTGGTGGATTTAACCAAGATAAAGTGAAAAAAAATCAAACAGTGAAACAGACACTGGTCAATAACAGACAGGCTGTCCTTAAACCCTCCACGACTGGACGAGGACAGAAACAGCGTGGACAGAATGTGCCCTGCAAAACTAAGCCAGGACTGAACCAAGACCAAACTAGGACTAAACCAAGACTGAACTAGAACTAAACCAGGACTAAACCAAGACTGAACCAGGACTAAACTAGGACTGAACACCTGAGTCCATTCCTCTTGGATTATGACACTTTAAAGTGAGAAAACATGAGTAGAGTTTTGTTTTGAACCACCAAAATGAAAAGAAAATCATGAAGCCATTCAAAGTGTACTTTGTGTATCTCCAGTAGAAGGCAGCGTGTGCAGAGGGCAGAGGAAGTGAGCCTCTCCACAACACTCACAAAATGGCTGAGTATTGATGTAGTATTGACCCAAGTCCAACCTCTCTCAACCAATCAGATTTCAGCAGCATTTCCTCTCCACCATCTGCTGATCCTCAAACATTTCCTGTGTGTGGTTTCAAAATCACATTGAACGATCAACGATTTTTAGATTTGTTCAATGTGAATTTTAATATCGAACAAATCTAAAAATTGTTTGTTTGCTTTCAGACAGTCTGGGGAATAAAATTGTCTCACAAATATAAACAAGAATTACACTGAGAACAAATTGGTAGGTCTCCAAAGGTTGCACTGCTGAAAGAGCAAAAATAAATCTTATGTAGTTATTTAGATAAATTCTTCATCACTATGGCAACAGTACTCTTTCTATCATTCTGAAATCCATGGCCAGGTCAAAAATGGGCCTAGTTCCCCAAAGTTAAAACACACACCTAAGAAAATATGTTTATTTACAGAATTCCATTCCACTTCCATTTCCAGATTTTTGGACATTCTAGTTTTCAGGTCAGTGCCTAATGTCCTGGTTGTTTCTTGCTTAACATTTTGTCTGTGTACAAAACCTCTGATTACTGGACATTTGTGAATAAATATTTGGGCCGTTTTAAGTATGACCCAAATCCATTTAGAATTTGAGTCTGCACCCAAATAAATACATAAATGATTCAGTAATTTCATACTGCACATCTACATAATGAAGAAGAAGAACTGTAGGGTAGAAGAAAGTATTAGAGTGGCCATAGATATGAACATACGAATATTACATTATTTACAATAAAAAGTTACATTTAAAGCAATATATAGAATGTCAATTACAGTTAGGACTTTTCAGCCATTCAGGTGAAACATTATTAAGGGTCGAACTGAAACAAACTTCAGTCGGTGTAAGTTTAGACTTTGGAACTGTCCAGAGTGATGAATTCTTCTGAGATTTGATCATAAACCACAGAAGATTCATCTGAGCATGCTCCTGCTGTTGTGATTGGCTCGTTGACCAGTGGTTCACACCAATCACAGAGCAGCGTTGTGATTTGGGAGGAGCCAAAAGTGACCAAAACACGATTAAACCTAAGTTGGATTTTGGTTGTGACACTTTAAACAATCAAATTGAAATTATTGTCCTGGCATTGTGTTTTCACCATGAGGTATTCCAGGTTTAAAAAATATTGATAAAATATTTGAGAGTGTTTCAGTCTTCAGTTCGGGACAGACATGAGGATCCTGATGGTCAATCACTCAACTGAGATAAAATCAAAGATTCAGTCACTTTAAAGGACACACTGTTTTGGGCTTTTCGTCTTATAGTGTTGTCCTCTCATCAAAAACATACCTGGAGTTATATTTTGCTTCACTCACACTTGTATCTTTAGTCCATTTATCACAGTCATCTTCCCTCAGCTCTCAGAAATGCTCATTTTGCATTTTGTTGGATCACAGGTAACAATCTGGACTTCTCCTACACAGATTTGTAGCCGATAAACCATCACTGGACTCATTCTGCAAACAAACTGTGCTCAAAGCACATGGATCTCCTTTCACAAGGCTGAAGGATTATTTTTATTCCTGTTGCAGACAGCAGAGGGAGCTCCAAGAGCCTAAAAGTCTAATTGGAAACAGGTGAAATTTAAAAAGTGTGGTTCCAAA